AAAATTTCTTTCTTTATGTTTCTTTGTGCTATATTATAAAACAAATATAAAACTTTTTTCCGTATTGATATATAGTTATATCAACACGGAAAATGTTTTATATTTGTTAAATATAAGCTTACTGTGATTTAATAATAATTAAAATTGAAAAATGTGGTTATTATTTTTATTGCGATATTATCGAATATCGTGATAATTTCCTGGACAATAATTGTGAGATGATTTTTTAATATATTATTTCCTTCAGCACCTTATTTTACAAGTTGTTTATCTTGAGTTTGAAGCAGTGAACTATAAGAATCCAATAATGGGACTCTTATACCCAATTCCAGCCTGAGCCTATCCTGCCGTACATAATCAAGATCATAAAAATTGACTTACAAATGATACTATTACCACTGATACTTTTTATACAATGATTTATATTATGCACTCAATTAGCCTTTCTCACGCAGCCATTTTTGGGTGGCATTTCAGCCGAAGTCTGCGAGATAAGTCCACATAACAGCGACTTTTTATAATTTTTCGGACGAATTAATGGTAAATTTGATTTGTAAATGGTTAGTTTATTTTGAAAAATTGCTTTTCACATTGTTTTAATTGTCTGCATTGGTCAACGAGAACTAGATACCACCCAAAATTGGCGGATATTCGTCATCTTGAGAAAGGCTAATTAAATGCCATTGCATGACCTGCAATCACGAGTTTTCAACAGGGTCAACTGCATGCCTGATATTTTACGATGTAGAACAAGAACATATTGCAGAGCAGTTCTCGTTCATTTTTTCGTGGCTTACTAAATCTTTCTTGATGTTTTGGAAATTTCAACCGCACGTAGCTACAACAAACGATTTGGCAAAATAATGAAAAGAATTTGGATTTTGGATTATTTTCTACCAGTTTTGCGGCTTAAAATTATGAAAGCGGCATGGGAAAACGTATCTTTTATTTTAAGATGGCCAGCAGAATTTTGACACCATCTGAAACAAAAATACAATTAATTAAAGCAGCTAACATTTATATACAGGGTGTATCAGAAAAAGTAATCCATCTGAAGAGTACTCTTGTGCGCTCACTATTGAGTGCACTGATTTAGTTTTTTATATTAAATATAATGAGGACTAGAAAGCGAGTCGCGTGTGTTTATGGTGTAATAATGCACGCGGGGAATGTCGGAAGAATAGGAGAACGAGATGGTGCATGCATGGGGCATTTAAATGAATTCATGAATTTTAGTTCCAAATGCATGGGAGTTACTTTCAATAGTTTCTCACCAAATTCCAAAAGGTGGAAAAATGCGATTTGCAATAGGCCCTAGCAATTTTTATTCGATTCATATTTCACCATTTTCTCGTATAATGATACAAAAATGTATAATTGGACAGCTAAAGTCCCGAAATGTTTTGCAGTATGTAACCCACACTAACATGCTGAAGTTTAATTACTCTTTTTTATACACCCTGTATGTCTTTCGAAAATTTCTGTTTTTATTAGTTAAAAACAAGATATGAATGATGAATGGACCTTATATATAGCTATTCCTAATGAACAAAATTTTGATCTAGACAAATCTAGACAAATATTTCACCACAGCTTGAAAGAGCATCACAAAATTAGTAGTATTCCGAAGTTTAGTTGCGAAATGTTGTAAAATGCGGATAATATACATAGCCCTGCGAAGTTTGACGTTTAATGGACAACTGGATGGCGAACTTTATAATTTTCTTTCCATCTGCAACTCTTTCTGTGAAATTGCCTGCGATATCTTGCTGCCATAGTGATACAGGTATCAATTTCCCGTGCTTACAAAATGACTGAAAAACGGCAAATTTCGCAAGGCTATATTATCCGCATTTTACAACATTTTGCAACGAAACTTCGGAATATTACTAATTTTGTGATGCTCTTTCAAGCTGTGGTGAAATGTTTGTCCGCACTATTTATTTATTTATTCGTTTATATTATTTATTAATCCAAAACTCTGTAAACATCCTAAAAATAGCTGCTGTAGAGTAGTTTCATGCAATAACCAAAAATCTGGAAGTATTTCGGATATTACAGATGTACATTAATGCCATCAAACCGAAAATATCGCAAACCGGAAATATCAAACCGAGGGCTTGCTGTAAGCTTATTTTACTTTTATCATTTATAGACCTGGAGCGAGGGGAATTCGGCGAAATATTACCCGAAGTGATGATATTTCCCGAGGGGCTTTGCCCCGAGGGAAATATCATCACTGAGGGTAACATTTCGCCGAATCCCCCGAGCGGAGGGTCTATAAATGATATATTATACCGAAAATTAAAAGCCTCCAAGTTGAGAATTAAAAACTTGATACATACCTTCGTGAATACGATGTTTTATTATCGGATTAACGCAAGTATCGTCGCTTTTCTTTCGAATCACATATCGTTTGGAATATTAATGACAAAGCCCCAGGTTTTAGGTTTGAAAAAGCCCTAGGTTTTAGGTTTAAAATTGAATTATTCATCACTCATTAATACTATTTATGTTTTGTCGGCCATCTTGTTGTCGTGCGTGTTGTCCTGCGTGGTCTACGCGAATAATGTTCCACCTCATGTTCCCCGGGGAACATGGGGTGGAACATTGTCAAAAGGAACGCAGGCTCGCTAATTGATGACGTAAGGCGTGATATCGCGATTAATTTCATGCTCACGTGGCACAAACTAAGCTTCCTGATTGGACAATTTGAATTTGTGGTATAATATTATATTATGTTTTACATGCATTTTAAAAATTGATTTCTTTCCTATTCGACGTGGCTTAATTTACAGTACCTTTCGTGGCGTTCTCTTTATATGCCCTATATAGAGATTTTTATGCATGGATTCAACATTGAGCGTTCACTATTTGCACTGTTAATTTGAAGGTGTTAAAATAACACCAAAAATGGTGTCAAATAAAAAGGTACAAAATATAACACCTTTTCGGGTGCTATTTTAACACCACTTTGTAGGGTGTCAAATTAGCACCTGAAAAGGTGTTAAAATAACCCCGTTTTTGGTGTCATAATAACACCAATTTCGGTGTTGTTTTAGCACTCTGACCTTGGTGTTAAAATAACACTTGATTTTAGTGCTACTTAGCATTACCGAATATTAAAAAACAATTAAAATAATCTATTGAAAAATTTATTTATATTATACTTTACAGCATTGCTTATCTATGTCATATATGAAGTATATAGTAAATTAGAAACTTATATTCTAGAATTCAACTTTTTAACGAGTTCTTGCACCTAAGGTTTACGGTATACTGTATAGAAACATTCACAGAAATAGTCGATGATTGTGACGGCCATTACTCTCCTCGTACTACACTCCAGTAATTAAGGATAAGGACAATACCGTAAACCTCCGACTATAAACCCTGGGCTTATATTCTTTTGTAAGCGATTTTTGATGGGCTTACAACCCAAACCTATATCAACCGACGTTAAAATAAAATTTCCAAACGACGCGCTCGCTATGTGCTCGCTAAGCCTTCTGCGAGGCACTTCTGATCAGCACTGATCTCAATCATGTGAAGAACAATCCAGTGCAAATAAACCTGTACTTCTCTTTTTTTTGACAGAAAATCTTCACTTCTTGTTATATCTTCCTTGCATGAACATATTTTGTTATCACCACACAATTTTTTTCACTGCATATTTTTACTGTTTATCACTGCACACTTTCTTGACATCGCTAACACCAAATTGGCAGATTGCATTTATTTTTCACACATGGGGTGCTGAGGACATCTTCGACATAGCTTCAATCGCAAACCATACCCTTTTGGTCTCTAATCATCCCTCTCCCTAGATTTTCCAAGACCTTCTTTACACCCCTCCACTTCGATTACATTAAAGGCGATATGTTTTAAAAATGTGATCATTTGCCCCATTTACTTGTCGGAAAAACGTAAACCGCTCCTACGTGGTCCGCCAATTTGAATCTGAAAACCGGTTCATGAGGTGCTATTTTGACACTCAAAGTTTAACTCTCAAAACGGTGCTACTTTAACACTTTCATTCAATAGACTGGGTGTTATTTTAACACCCAAGAAAAGTGTTAAATATCTAAGGTGCTAATTTAGCACTTCAAAATCAATTCCCAACTTCATGGTGTTAAATCAGCACCCAAATCGGTGTTAGATTAACACTTGTTATTTAACACCACCACAAGGTGCCATTTTAACACCTACGAAGGTGCTATTTTAACACCTTCAAATTAACAGTGTGATGGCTGCAGCCGGTTTGTTTCAGTAAAAGAACTGGCAAACAATTAAACAAAATGCATTTTCCTATTTCCGTGCAATGACCTATTTATGTCTGGATTTGTCAACCACCATCTTCGGCCAGGTCACAATAATTGGGCTCATTAATTAAAATCCATTTTTCCTTTGATTGTTTCGTTATTCATCAAAACGTTGCTAACTCCAGATATAACTAGTCTTTCAGCGCTCCTGAGGGTTTTAGGTATACTAACACGGACTTTTCCAACTTATAGAAAGTCTAAAGAATGTGAAAATGAATCCTCCGCCAAGAATCGAACCTTCGGAAGAAGAATTCCGTCTTGAGGAATACGATCCAGGGGTAAAATACTCTAATTTGTTCATTATAGCTACATGCAAACGACATTTCTATTACCGCGCATGATTCACTATATTACTTAAAAAGAAGAAATATACAAATGAACTTATTGCATATACTATAAAGATTAATCTCATAGCGTGACATCTCCAAAATGTAGTATTTTTTTCCAAAAGTAAATTTTTATGGTTAGGTCCTAAGATATAATGCGCTAAGATGCATCTGTAGTGTAGTACATGGCCAATTCACAAAACCTGGGCAGCCAAATCATTTTTCGATACGGGTGTAATAATAGCCCTGTCGAATTAACCATCTTTCCCTTGGTTTTCTCCCAGAAGAGCGCTTATATACTAATCTTCCCAAAATATATTTACCTACATATGTTGAATTAATATATAATTTCAAACATGATATAAACCAGTAAGCAACAAATGAATATAACTATTTTCTTGGTTATTATGAACCATTTATCATTTGGATACGAAACAACCATCTACAGTTCGTTAACATACGGAAACTCAAATTAGTGTGCAAACAGATCACCTTGGTTTAGTCCCAAATTACATTCCACTACATTTTTCATGTTCTAAAAAGGTACTGTATATTTCACAACTTTCACCTGATCTTACATTCTAAAATTCTAGAATGCCCGAATCAAGCGTGGCCATGCGGGTCATAATCTGAGAACCTCGCGGAAACAGTGTTCCCGATTGATATTAAAATAAAAAATGGAGATTCCAGATTATTAAATGGGAAATACATTATATGGATTCATGCATGGCATCGACTTCACGAAACATTGGCTGCATAAAGAATATTGAATGCAGACGATAACATCATTCTCGCTTCGACTTCTGACCACAAAGCTTTGAATATTTAACAATTATTCGCCGAAGGCGAAGTGATTACCGGTGAATATTCACCGAGACGAAGTCGAGGTGAATATTCACCGTAATCACTGAGCCTGAGGCGAATAATTGTTTTAGTATAAATTTTTAATGAATAAAACAAAATATCCAAATATCAGTTCAATTAAATTTCAGAAATAAAACTGTTTTCGGCCTGTTCACTAATAGTGTTGCAGTGTTTCTTGTACGCACACGCTTTCAAAATGGCTTCTTGTGTGACTTTATTGCTTTATTACAAAGTTGTTTTTCTCGATTTCGGCTTGGAATATAAACACAATAACGGAATGACTCTTTCACCAGACTTAGAATTAAAAATAGCTTCTGTTTAGCATTAATTTCTTCAGGAAATGGCTGAGGAATTTGGTAAAATGAAATGTAAAACTATATCGTTCGAAAAAAAGTTTTAATAACACTTTTTACTTTACAAGTTTCGAAAACACAATACAGCGGTCAGAACACCTTACAGCACAATGAAAACATGACATATCTAAAGAAATATTATCGTACAAATAGGGAAATTGATAGGATATAAAACAAAATTGTTTTAGAAAGAATATCACAGCTTTTCCCAACAGTCGGGTAGCCGGTTTCGCAAATTGTTTGAAGCGAATGTTTTAAATAAGTTTTAAATTGTCCGTGAATATGTTTGACACAGTAAAATAATAAAGAAATCCTACCTTTCAAGCTAAATACAACATTTTGTGCTTTTTTCGTTTTCTGGGACGATTTTTTTCAATATTTTGTCGATTTTCAAACCAAATTTGCCGGATCGTTCTTTTTGAAAAGCATTATTTACTAGTCTGCTAGTAAATAATGCCTCAGATTTACTAGTCAACTAGCCAATCAGAACGCGCGAAAGCTCATTTGGTATGCAAAATTTATACTAAAAAGCAATATTCAATAATCCGAATCAAAATCCCCGGCTCGCATTGAACGCTGCATGTTGCGACTGCAACCATATAATTTTCTTATAAATTGCAAGCAAGAATACCCTGGTTCCAGTGGTTCTTGTGCCGCCGTATAGTTGCACGAAGGAACGGCGGAAGGGAACCTCTGGTGGCACACAATGCGAATCTCACTTCCATGCTGAGTTGCCGTTTGAGAATTTGCAAACCGATTTTATATTTTGTGACGTATTTAAACTTCCTGCAGGTTTGTCATACTACCAAAATAGCTCTCTTTGACTGTTTGCCGTGTGTGGCGACAGCCTTGTGTAAAATATCAGTTAAAAATAAGCAGCCTAAACAACTCTTTAGAAACAAATAGATTGTTCTCGCAACATACAGCTATTGGTATTGTATAGTTGTTATTGTAGAGTTACATAGCAAAAGCAATCTTAATTGTTAAATTTGTGGAATGCCGTTTGTATTACTATAGCGAACGTACAAATCCAAAAGTCGAAAGTGAAAGAATAATATTTATATCTACCGGGTGTCCCAAAAAAAGTACTCCGGTTTGATTATAATAACCTCTAAACAGGTAAAGCTATCAAACAAAAATAACTTGCATTAAATAGAGGAAGGACTAACTTAGATTCTGATATATTACAGTTGTATTTTACTTAACAATTCACGGAGATATTAATGTTCAAAATCGGGAGCATGATATTTTGGGAAGTGTCTAAAATTAGCGAAAATCGGAATATCAAATATTAACTCCAGCGTTTGTTTGCTTAATGACATATCAGGCTAACTTGTATTTCAGCGAATTGTCGTTAGGGTTTGTAAGGGATATGGCGTTGATTTAGACATCTTACATGTAAGTCTTGGCTCATTGTTTCCTGAAATATGAACGTTCGAAATTATGCAAGTATTTAATAGGTCTTCACAAACTTAAAGATATATGAAAGACCATGCAAGGCAGGCGCTTAAATTTTTCTTACCCATAGCCTAATTGTCTTATGTTTTTCATGGGTTCAAAATAGAGTTGATTATTTCTCGGTTAGAGCAGGATGAATATCATTCTTTAATGAAGGAAATAATATCGCTTTTTGCAAATACACATCACAGTATCAACGCTACTATTTTGCTACGTTTTGTTCCAAAAATTTTGATGTCTCTGGGGAGTCGCTTGTTATGTCTTATGGAGTTGTATGGTTTGATTGTGTTTCATTCTCAGTTTATTCTGAACTTGCCCAGATTAAGAAAAGGCAAAAGAGTTTAGGTGTTCTTAACAAGATTTCAGAACGTTGCAGAAGTTAGAAGAGCTTCACAATTCCATTGTGACAGCATGCCCTAATTCAGAACTACGAACGATCCATGACGATCCTTCGCGACGCAGTGGTTTCATGAAATAAGGAAACGTATTCGTGCTAGGAACACACGCGGATTTGGGACGAATAAATCTTGCTTGTATTTTGTAGATAATAATACTTTGTTTCATAATAAACAATTTGTCAAGTGTCATTTATTTACTCGTATTAGTGCATGTTTCAGTCGGGCAAATCTTGATTAATATTTGATACGCCCTTTTTTGCATATTTCAGACACATCCCGAAATATACTCCCGATTTTAAACATTAATTATCTCGATGAATTGTAAGTGAAATACAACTGTGACATATCAAAATCTAAATTATTCCTTCCTCTATTTGATGCATGTTAGTTCTCTTTAAAAGCTTTATTTGTTTAGAAGTTACTACGAATCAAACCGGAGTACTTTCTTTTGGGACACCTGGTATAATATATGTGCAACGGAGGATACGGTTGTATGTCCTTAAACGACAACGCGAAAATAGTGGCAAAATAAACCGTATTACCAACTATTAAAGTCAAAGAATTACCCTTACATTTTACAACTGGAAATACATGCATGCAACGACCCCTCGCCTATATTTTCCAAACATTGTTTCAACATGAAGTATTCGTAATTATGCCAACACTGAACGTAGGCTCGCGTTGTAAACCTGCAAAAAATAAATGAAACTTGAACACTTTAAAGGTGATCTACAGTCCGTATGTAAACAAAGCCTTTGTTTACATTTTTGTGTCCAAAATATTGAGCTTTATTCGACAACTATTTATATTTTCAAGCTTCTAGAGTAAAATAAGTTATCAAGAAACAACAATCAGGCTTTTCAAGAACTCAAAACATAGCTAAACTGTTTGTATCATAAAAAGTGGGCTCATTTGTGCACATGCGCAGATCGGACTGTAGATCACCTACCGAACTATATACTATATTTTTTTCATTATTCTATAGATACAGAACTATCAATTTGTAAAATATATAAAGTAGATATATTATTTTGCTTTATGCGGGCTTTATTTTAATGTAAAATTCAAAACGAAACTCTATGTAAAACGTTTTTAAATGTGAATTGAAATTAACTGCTTGTTGCCGATATAAAACTCTTCAACTCGAGCTTCAACTTATTACTCGCACTTTGAAATGAAATAAATTTAATTCGTACAGGACGCTTATGGACAAAATTTGCTTTCTTTTTTATCATGAACTTCTACAAAAGTTAATTTAACTAAGAAACTTTCGCATACAATGCATAGGAAAGACTAGATTTAATCTATATTTATTTAATAATGCAAAGTGACACATAAACAATTGAAACAAACTTGCCCTATACTTTAGGATTTCTCATACTAAATCAATTCTCATAAATGTTTACGTTTATATGAAAAAAGTTTTAAAATTTGTTATGTAAAACGATTTTCCAAGCTTACTTACATGTATATTTTATTTTTTTGCCTTCTTCAATCCGGGCAAACAGCCATATTTTGAGATCAGTCATGACCACACCCAACACCCAACACCCAACAGTAGTGATAGACCCCACTCTGGTGACCAAAGGAATGCCGCCAATGACGTCATGTTGCTCCGAAAGTAATTAGTATGCAAAATCTATGACGTCACTCGGGCAAGCCTGGGCCAAAGGTGCCAGGTAGCGCGACCAATTAACGCGGGCAGGCCTGGGCCAACTGTGACAGGTAGCGCGACCAAACACACATGTATTTTGATTGTTTTTTCGGGTGATTAAAACATGCTCTTGCGATAGCTCAGTTGGTAGAGCGGAGGACTGTAGTTCCTTAGGTCGTTGGTTCAAGCCCAACTCGCAAGATTTAAAAACAGGAGTTCTTTTTCGCGGGAAAATGTATATGTAGCTCGGAGCCTAATTCAAAATAACCGCAAACTTTGAAAGCCAAAAGCTTAGAGCTTCGTCTAAATAGCTCACGGAGCCTGGTTCGCGGAGCCGGTCCGTTCGAAGCATAGTCTTTAGTTGACAACGTTTAGTTCATGTCTACACGGTAAAGTTACTGCCTCTTCGACTATGAAAAATGGTACATTTTGATTCTGTGGGGAAAAAACTTTTAAAACAGTTGTAATATATTTTGTCATAAAAACATGTAGTCGTTATATACGTTGTTATGTGTTGCTAAGTCATTAGCGGCGCTTGGGTGCATGCATATATTAATGTACGACATAGTTGTACTCAGGCGGGCGGGTTGCGCGGATAGGAAAGATCGGGCTTTGCGAGCAAACATTTACACAAGATTTCAGTTTTAAAATTGCATTTATTTCTTCAAAACGTTTTACAAAATTTAGTACGATTTACTTCTCAGAGCATAACGTCTATAGGTGTTTTTGTTATTGTTAAAGAGTTCTCATATTCTTGTCTATCTTCAGGTGATAATCGTGCAACATCTTCATGCTTCATTGGAATATATTTTGGTCTTTCGTTTAGTAAAAAACGTTCATAACGCTCTCTTTCCTTCGGTTTCATCATAGCCAGATCACTTTCTTTCCAATCAGCAGAATCTACCCAATTGTGAAAAAAGTTGTGCTTGAGTTTTGGTCGTTCCTCTTCTGTTGGTGGCGGTGTAAGGACATTAGGTTTAGGAGTAGCAGGTATTGGTGATGGTATTTCCGTTGGTACAGAAATAGGAGGCACTTGTGGTGGTATCTCTGCAGGCATTAACGGTGATGTTTGAACTGGGGCTTGAGCCGGGACATCCATCTTATTTTTGAATGTCAGAGACCGGTTTAGCTGATCAGAATATAACTTGCTTTTTTCCACTGCGCTCAGCTGTGGCGCTTCTATGATTTCTTTCATTCTCTGTTCGGCATCATACATTGCATTTAATTGTGGTGGTTGTTGATACGACTGTTTTTGTATAAACTTTGCAATCTCGCCGGGAAGTACGTTGGTCTTGAGTCGTTGTAGGTCGTCTGTTGTTGGCTTTAAATCCAACATCAAGTATCCGTGAGGTCGGCTCGTGGCATCATCATAACTCTTCATAAATTCTTGTACTTTACCAGGATCTACCTGCCTTGCAAGCATAGAAATTTGCTGTTTATCTCTTGGTGACTTGAACAACACGATATAATGAGCATCAAGGTTGATATTTCTCATTTCTTTGCCTTGATGAAATATATTTTGGACAATATAGATGATGGACAAATTACGGTGATGGCTTCCTTTGTTAAAAAGATCAGCAATACGTTTGTCTTTACTAGATTGTGCCATGAGATCGTCCAGTACGATCAAATTCCGTTGCGATACATCCAAGTAGTCGGTGTTGTCAATGACTTTTGGAATGCCTTTATTAAACTCGATTGCAGGAATCGCCCTCAGCATATCAAAATAGGAGGGTTGCCATTGACCATAACACCAGATAATACGTTGAGGAGCAGGACTTATTATCGTCTGAGCATTCTCCAAGAGAGATTTTGCCCATACAGTTTTGCCACTTTGTGTACACCCCGCTACGATGCACGTAAAGGGATGCTGCATAACACTGGACCTATTGCCAATTACACTTAACCTTCTTTCATCTGTACTGGTGCTATGCATCTCTTTTTTGTGACGTGAACGGTTACCAGGTGTTGAAAACGGTCTTCCACAGACTTCGCAGGGATAAGACATGTTTACAGGTTCACAATCAAATGTAAAATGAATTCGAAGTTTGTGTACCGTTCCATAAATAGTATTATGTGGTCAAACCAACATAAATAATCCTATGATATTCCAAGATGCTGTATGATATCCTAAGATATTGATATCCTAAGATGTTGATATCCTAAAATACTATATGATGTCCTAAGATATTGATATCCTAAGATATTAATATCCTAAGTTAGTATAATTTCAGTAGTAAAAAATGGATTTCGAGCAATTTGATTGGTTAACTGAGTAGTAAATCTGAGGCATTATTTACTACCTGAGTAGTAAATAATGCTTCAAAATGGCTTCCCACAGTCGTTTTGCAGAAATTTCTGTTGAGGAAATTGAACAAATAAAGGACAGTGCAATTCCACAAAACACAAAACTAGCAACAAAATATGGGATTAAACTTTTCAAAGGTAAGGAGTGTTTTTGTAATTAATTTATTAACAATTTGTTTCACAATTTACAACTGGCAGTAAAAAAAGAGCGACCGGGAAAATTACTTGTCTTTTTTAACTATTTTCTACACCAGAATGGTTCTCAGACCAAAACGAGTTCACAACCGAGTTCGAGAACATGGACATTGATGACCTGAATCAATGTCTATCAAAATTCTACATGTCTGCTAGAAAAAAAGATGGTTCTTACTACAAAAAGGCAACCTTAATGTCATTGCGAGCTGCGTTGGATCGCCATCTTCGCTCACCACCATATAACAAAAAATTCTCAATTTGTGACCCGGTCGCCTTTCAAGAAGCAAATAAAACATTGCATTCCTACCTGAAACACCTCATGAGCACTGGAAAAATTGCTGGAATTCGAACTGTCCACAAAAATCCCTTGACACCTGAAGCGGTACAACTCCTTTTCAAGAAAGGCGAACTTGCTTGCGCTGAAACCCGTGATCCTCGCTGTTTAATGCAAACAGTTTGGTTCTACATTTCCTTGTATTTTGGAAAACGAGGTCGTGAAAACCAGAGGGCAATGAAGAAATCGATGCTACGTCTTTGTACAACAGGAACTGGAGAAGAGTACTTTGAGCTCAATAAAGATGAACCCGGGACGATGCTTTCAAGCAAAAATCACACTGGCGGTCTCGAAGGCACGGAAGACCACTCGGACGGGAAGGTCTTCGCTCTCACAAAATCGCCAAGATGTCCAGTAAATACCATCAAAGCGTATTTAAGTCACTTAAATCCCGACATTGACGTGTTGTTCCAGCGACCAAGACATCCTTCTTCCAGGTTCAACCCAAACGAAGCCATACTTTGGTACGAGAAAAAAGTACTCGGCCATAACATGCTCAACAACATGATGCGAAATATGTCACAAAGAGCTGGAATATCGCCTTACTATACCAACCATTCGCTGCGAGCCACCACCGTTACTGTTTTATCGTCCAACAACGTTGAGACACGAAAGATTAAAGCCGTAACTGGTCACAGAAGCGATACAAGTATCGAAAGTTATTGCGCCAGACCAACTCTAAGCCAGTTTAAGCAGATGTCGTCGACGCTGAGTTCGTTTGTTCATGGCGAAGAAAATACAGCAGCCACTTCATCTTCGTCAATCATCCCAACTCCAGTTGCCCCTCGTCAACATCCAGCAGAAAGCAGTGCAACAGTCGCAAACAGTACTGTAACCTTTGGCAGAAATGAGGCAAATATCGTATCCTTCAAGCACATGGTGTGAGGTGTCCTGAATCAATTCTTCCATCAGGTACTTTCCAGGGATGTTCATTCACATTTAACATCAATATGAACAACAACTAACTTTTCTGGAACGTATTACATTGTTAGATTTTTATTGTGCATGATCCTTGTTGTAAATATATAACGTTTTCAGCGTCTTAGCCTCATTGTTGTTGTGAAGTGTCAAACGAACTTGCCGAACTGCTTTAGAATTCAGATCATGTGTCATGTGATCGATCATTACGTTTTTAAAAAGGAAGTAAATTATATTCATAACGGAAGCACATATTAATTATTTGATTAATTTTGTGAAAGAAATTATACTAAAACAATTATTTACCTCAGTCTCGATGATTATCGGTGAATATTTACCTTGCCGCTTCGCGGCGCGGTAAATATTCACCGATAATCATCTCGACTTCGGTAAATAATTGTTAAATATTGATATCCTAAGATATTGTATGATATCCTAAGACACTGGATGATATCCTAAGATATTGATATCCTAAGATATTGATATCCTAAAATACTGATATCCTAAGATATTGATATCCTAAGATATTGATATCCTAAGATATTGTATGATATCGTAAGATACTGATATCCTAGGATACTGATATCCTAAGATATTGATATCCTAAGATACTGATATCCTAAGATATTGATATCCTAAGATATTAATATCCTAAGATATTTATATCCTAAGATATTGATGTCCTAAGATATTGATATCCTGAGATATTGATATCCTAAGATAATGATATCCTAATATATTGATATCCTAAGATACTGATATCCTAAGATATTGATATCCTAAGATATTGATATCCTAAGATATTGATATCCTAATTAAGATATTGATATCCTAAGATGTTGTATGATATCCTAAGACACTGATATCCTAAGATATTGATATCCTAAGATACTGATATCCTAAGATATTGATATCCTAAGATATTGATATCCTAAGATACTGATATCCTGAGATATTGATATCCTAAGATACTATTTTCGTTAATCCCCGAGCCGACGGCGCGAAGCGCCGTGCGAGGGTACTAATTCCCCCCGGCTATTTACACCCGGGGAAACGAAAGCATTAGCGGAGTCTAAAGTTCATCAATTATCGCGGGCGTGGGTCACCAACGAAGTTTCGGTGGGTGGTCATTCTCACTGATCTCATAATATAGCGGACTGTCATGAATAGCCAACACTGATTGGTCCAATTTAAAATTTGCATTATAACGACTGCATGACGACAGCGAAATAGCAAACATTTCTTGATTTGGTCACAGATGAGGTAATTACAGATATGAATCTCAAGGCAAATCGTGTCACACGGATTAAATAAACTTTAAAATTGTATTAATTCACTATTTTATTAAATTTTGATAATGCAGAGGAATAAAACTATACATATTATAGAAGTATTCATGCTTTTTTTTTATGCGAGAGTTATGTTTTGAGGAATTTATATCATTCGCTGTTTTGTTATTATACACGAGCATCTGAAATTCCCAGCAAGTGTATTTCACGATTTTAATAAGGAGTAGATAGGGAAAAAAACAAACTTTTGCTAAATAAAATGTTATGTTAACACTTTTAATAAAAAGAAATCAATAAAAGTGATCGCTTACCGTTACTCTTGAAGAATTAATTCCAAAAAGAGCCGTCGGTCGCGTATATTTTTTAAAAAAACAATTTTTCGTCTTTCGAACGGCGTTTTCCTATCTCTTTCCTTATTAAATTTCAGAACGACACTTGCCAGCGCTCGCCGGAAGTGAGAATTCCGTGTGACACAAAACAATCAGCAATTTGACAGAAGATTCATATCTGTATTTACCTCATCTGTGATTTGGTGATTGATAAATTTCTTGCAAATATATTTCATTTTGCTTGCATTTTTGCAAGATTTTGTAAATTTCAAAAGCTCTCTGAGGAAGAAACTGCGAAAGAATCGGCTAAAAGAAGGGAGACGACGTTAACGAAGCCGAAGGTAAATTTGTTTTAAATATTGATTTTATATAAATGGATTTAAAACCCGACGGCCTTTGGCTTTGCATATATGAAACAACTAAACAAAACAGCATATAATTTCAGTGTATCTTTAATATTGATTCCTTTCTTATGATATTGAATTTTTTAAATAAAAAAGAAAGCAAAGTTATTTGCAAACTCAAAGTTTATCGATAAAGCCATTTTAAAAGGCAGTTTAGTTTTATAACACTATAGTGACTTTGAAAATGTTTTGGAAGCGTTTGTGGTTGAATTTTACCTTAAATTGAGGCTTATATTACGTATAATAACATGCCTAACATATATGTTGGGAAATTAATAATTTTGTAATTAAAAGTGATATTTTTAGGCGATTTTTCATTTGTATTAAGAATATTCTTAAAAAATTATCGTGTTACCATGACAACTACTTTCGATACTTCATGTTCGGAAAATACAATGGTTTTGTCAGCAAGGCGAGGGTTTCTGCATGCATGTATTTTCTAGTATATAAATATGTTATTTCCAGCTAGATCTTCATTTCGTCGCTGACCGCCGAACAGAGATGACTAGCAGCTATATCAAACACAGACCGTTTGTGGAGCTCTTGTGTATTTCTCATCCAATTCAACAGCAAGCTCTGTTGAATTCAGCATCTCATGAACAGATTCGCTTTCTTTGTAATTGCTTGGAAAACTTTACATATCCTAAAGCAATATTGAACAAACTTGGACCATTTAAAGACGATCTCGCTGACTTAGCGGACAGAAGTAGGAGCTTTAGAAAGAAAAGGAAAATTCTTGTTCAGCGCGGGAGTGGTTTTCTAGGATTGGTACCTGCCCCACTTTTACAAGGCCTTGAAGAATTAGTATAAAATAATCATCATTAGTTGACATTGTCATTCCAACCATGGACAGCAAGGAAAGGTCATCTCCGAGACATTGGCGTGTTGAAGATATACTTGGACACTTAAACGATGATGTTGATAAAAACAATGCGGAAGAACTTCTTCACTGCATTCTCACATCCACGGATATTCTCACATGGAATCTTCAAGGAGAAATTGTATACAAAGGACAGAATATACGTGTAACAAATATTGTAGATCTTTTGCAATATACTGTTTTACCATATAATACTGAAATTCCTGAACCGGCTGGACTGAGTATATTTCTCAAAGGTCTTGCAAAATTGGAAATTGATAAAAGCCTAATCGTAAATGGGCGTGTCCTTACCATGCTAGCCCATAAGTGGTCCTACCAGGATAGACAGTCTGATAAATCCGAAGATGAGTCTGAAGACATGGACACAGTTTGTAACGGTTGTAACAAAGATCTAGACATCTCCCATTTGGCCACATGTCCTATATGCACATGGACAGACTTTTATCCAAAATGTATGAGGTGTCACTGTACGACCTGTGATTTTCGACTGTCCGAAGGAAATTTCGCGCATGTAATCGCCTGTTGCCAACATTGTCATTGTGACGAAATTATGGATGTTAGTACGGATAAAAGACTTTTTTACCATAAAATAGGCGAACAAAGTGATATGTGATCAGTTTACTGTGTGAATTTGAACTGAACACATCAACATGGCGAGGGGTACGCTTGTTGTAGACACAAAACTATTGAAAAACCATTTCTTGAGACAGCAGCGTGGTGGGAATATCGCTGGGTTTTATGGTGCACATATGCAAAGGGGATATGGGATCGGAAGCATTTTCAAGAGCCTTGCAAGATATGCTATCCCTCTATTCAAACAAGGAGCTAATGTTGTTGGCAAAAGAGCATTACAAGCAGCCACAGAAGTTGGTCAAGATGTACGTCAAGGAAAAAATGTAAGAGAATCTGTAAAGGCTCACAGAGGGAAAGTTGTTAAAGACTTTGTTGAGCAAGGAGCAAGGACTCTTCTGCGTCAAACAGGACATGGAAGCAAAAGAAGGCGAAGTCAACGCAGCAATCTATCATCAGTCAAGAAGCAAAAACTGGAAGAAGATCCAAGACGTCCCAAATGGATTAGGAAAGATGAAAGCGACTGCGATGATGAAAGCAGCCACGACGATGAATCTGAAAGCGAAATATCTCAAACAAGTGACGATTAGAAGCATAAAAATAACAAAAACACCTAAACGTTATGCTCTGAGAAGTAGACCGTACTAAATTTTGTGAAACGTTTTGAAGAAATAAATGCAATTTTAAAACTGAAATCTTGTGTAAATGTTTGCCCGCAAAGCCCGATCTTTCCTATCCGCGCAACCCGCCCGCCTGAGTACAACTATGTCGTACATTAATATATGCATGCACCCAAGCGCCGCTAATGACTTAGCAACACATAACAACGTATATAAAGACTACATGTTTTATGACAAAATATATTACAACTGTTTTAAAAGTTTTTTCCCCACAGAATCAAAATGTACCATTTTTCATAGTCGAAGAGGCAGTAACTTTACCGTGTAGACATGAACTAAACGTTGTCAACTAGAGACTATGCTTCGAACGGACCGGCTCCGCGAACCAGGCTCCGTGAGCTATTTAGACTAAGCTCTAAGCTTTTGGCTTTCAAAGTTTCCGGTTATTTTGAATTAGGCTCCGAGCTACATATACATTTTCCCGCGAAAAAGAACTCCTGTTTTTAAATCTTGCGAGTTGGGCTTGAACCAACGACCTAAGGAACTACAGTCCTCCGCTCTACCAACTGAGCTATCGCAAGAGCATGTTTTAATCACCCGAAAAAACAATCAAAATACATGTGTGTTTGGTCGCGCTACCTGTCACAGTTAGCCCAGGCCTGCCCGCGTTAATTGGTCGCGTTGCCGGCCACATTTGGCCCAGGCTTGACCGCGTTAATTGGTCGCACTACCTGGCACCTTTGGCCCAGGCTTGCCCGAGTGACGTCATAGATTTTGCAGACTAATTACTTTCGGAGCAACGTGACGTCATTGGCGGCATTCCTTTGGTCTCCAGAGTGGGGTCTATCACTACTCCCAACCACGCACGGTAACCCACGCCCGCGATCATTGACGAACTTTTGACTTCGCTAATGCTTTCCTTTCCCCGTGTGTAAATAGCCGGGCGGAATTAGTACCCTCGCCCCAGGCCTACGCCCGGAACAGCTCTCCTCGCCGTTGGCTCGGGGAATATTAATAGAGTGAACATGTCATGCCGTCAACTCAGGACATGCCGCGATGGCAGCTCTTCTCCAGCGCAGAAAATCTTTTTAAGTCAGTGAGTTCATATCTCAGAGGTTCCTAGCGAAACAAATTAAGTTAATTAATCTCAAATATTACCCGCACTATAAAGTAGAGCATTTTAATACGTTCGTATTATTCGTTGTATTTTGTTCGTATTATTTCTGTATTTCTGCATTTTGTCTCTGAGATTTATAAACATGCTTTTTTGTTCAGCCAATCACATCACTTCATGTGACTGCTAATTATAACTAACCAATCATGTGCTTGGTACAATTTTTTACCAAAGGAAGTGATATTTATATCGCGTGTCACCAGAGGTTCTCTTCGCCTCGCGTGAATAGATACGAGCGAGAATAGGACGGAAGATATGAGAACCTCTGGCAACCAGGGTAAAGCAAGAATCACAATTGAAGAAAGCTAGAGTCGTAGACAACTACGTAAACTTCATTGTCAACCATACGTAGAGTACCAAAGTCAATTAGTCTTCAGGAAATCAAAGATGTTACCTTTTGTGACATACCTTTGATAAAAGTTCGGAGAAATGGGACGAGAACGATGCGGAACTAAAAGTGTATAGATTGTCCGCTAAAGAATTAACAGTGACCCACACGGAGATCTGGCTGCATGTAAAACTTTTCAACTGATTGGCCTACCAGACAAAACAATTTTACTACGACTTTTTGATTTGTTAAAATGCTAATTATATTATAATATTATTGTTCATGATGAATTCTACAGTTTTAGCCGTCAAATTAACTATAAATACATATATGCAGAAACCTGTCGCTTTGTCAGCAAAACCATTATATTTTCCAAACATGAAGCATCTGAAATTATTGTAACGTAATCACGATCATTTTATGCTTTTTATAGTTTTTAAATTGAAAAAAAAAAGTTCGAAATGAGCACTTTTAATTTGTTCAATTATGAATTTCCCAAATATATAGCTACGAAAGGTATAGGCGTAATATGAACTTCAATTAAATGTTTTGTATTCTCTGAAACTCATCGCTTTGTCTTAGCTTTATTCTCTAGTTTATAGAGTTAGCTACCTTTTTAAATGCATCTGCCGGTTGAGAAACATAAAATAATAGTTGAAAATTGTCAATTAAAATACAATTATCAATGATGCTTTAAAATTGACGCCATATTTACAGCCATATAAGCAAAACTTACTGAACTTCAGACATCATTTTCTCTTTGGCGTATCATCTAAAATATCTTCATTTTAGCATTATTTTACAGATAAAGTACTAAACATACTTTTTAAGTTTGCTTGCCGATTGAGAAACGTATCGAAAAATAAAAATTTTGAATTTAGTCATAAACTCAAGCGATATGTCATACGCATTAGTTTTGGGCGCGTGTTACGTGACACACAAGAAAATATTCTTTTAAAAACACAACAAATTTTCCATCTATTATCTCAAAATATGATTACAACTTTTAAATTTTGTGCGCGAGCCATTTTTAGTTTGTTGTAAAAGACACCCCCCCCCCCCCCGGTTCAAAAATTTGAGTTTGAGAAATTTTTTTCATTTTTTTCATTATTCTACATTATGAGTACCCAAAGAAGCTATATATATACAAAACCGGATACAAATATGTGTTTTGCGAAATTGAGAGCAATTTCAAATCTGTTCAGTTTTTTTTTATATACACCCTGTAGTGTCTGGGTGTTTGGTGTGCACCAATTTCTTCATTGAAAAATGTATAACTTTCCATTTGTTTACATCTTATGACTTCGCCCATTTTTCGCTGCAATGTTTGCAATTACAGAGACAATCAACATATTTTTTAGTCGTCCGTGTAGAGTGCGATTGGTGAATTATCTTCAGTATAGGCTGGTAGATAAGGAAAGAGAAGGGGCCCAAGGATAAACCCTGAAGTACACCTGATGTAACAGGAAGTCATGCAGTCAGAAGACTGTCTGTCGATGACTACTCTTTGTTGTCTCTCCAATAAATAACTACGGAACCCGGAAAGGGTGGAACCAGAAATACCGCACGATTCAAGTATTAACAATAACAGATTGCGTGATACAGGATCGAACCTCTTTCCAACGTCAACGACAATGTACTAGACGACAGGTCAATATCAATAAATTAAATTTGCATTACAGTTTTTGAATAAAATATAGTTTCAAAACTGAAACTTTTATTAATTAAAGAAAACGTACTATAAATAACATATAGAATAGTTGTAAAGGTCGGTATAGGGAAATCAATAATTTTGAAGATTATAAATTTGGCTGGGTATGATAAACAATATATCATGTACGCTGTTTTAATAATCGTTTTAAATACAGTTTTTAAGCTTTTTGTTGTTTGTTGATGTATTAGCATTTTGTTTACACGTACCGAGAAACAACTTCTGCTGCATAAAAAGGGACAAATACAACACCAGCCTTTCCAACCTATTATTGGCTGAAATGGTAGGACGAAGACGCTGAGTTTGTTTGGGTTTTATCATTTGATTTTAGTAAAGCCTCAATTTGATTCGGTCCCGCATGATATCGTAACCGAAAAACCTAAAAAAACAAACCTAAATACTTATATGATCAATTGGTTTGTAAGTTTTTTGACCAATCGAAAACGAAGACAGAATCGTAACAGAATAATTTATGTAGATATTAACAAAGGAGTTGCACAGGGAACCGTCATTGACCCGTTTCTATTCTCTCTTATGGTTGATGACATAAAACCCAAACAACCTGTATTGGTTAAAGTTGCTGATGACATGACCGTTAGTGCACCAGTAAAGTCAAATAGTGATTTTGCAACAACGGAAATGAGAAACAGAATGACTTTAAATTTATCAAAAATATGGGAGATGCTTCTGAGTGGTGGAACTTCTAAGCCCCTACCAGTGCCAAAAAAGGTATTGAACGTAAGAAATGGTTAAAATTGGTGTTACTTTCGAGGACGGTGTGTGCTGCAGGGACCTACAAGTTGATGGCTTGTTGTCGAAGGCTGGAAGTCCAACGTATATTCTAAGAGTAGGCCTATGTGAAATGTATGGATAGCGACAGGAGCATCTCAGCTATCTTTTTGACTCAATTATATTATCGTTATTTTTTCTACGGTATTGGAAAATTGGAAAAAACTCGAAATTGTGTGAAAACACTCCGCCCTTCGGGCGTTGTGTTTCCACACAACTTCTCGTTTTCCCATTTCCCACTCGTGTTGATATAACCGTATATCAACTCGGAAAATGTTTCATATTTGTTAATTATTTGATAATTATTTGATAATATTGTAAATAGAGTAAATAGTAATATAGTATATTTTAGAATTAATAACTAGAATCATGTAAAGACGTTTGTTGCGTCTATAAGGATTATTTAAATAAATATTATTATTATTATTATTGTTCTTAAAAAATACAACTAAAAAATAAGTTAAATTATAAAAATTAAAATAAATTATATAATAATATTAATTTTTTTTTAATATTCTTTAGATTGGTCCACATGACGATGTCTATCCGTTTTCACATCTGGATATTTTAGGTAAAAGCTAAAATTTTTTATTTCTTTAAATAAGACGATGTTACTGTGTGCCCACGCCGAACAAGCTGAAAGGTTTGCTTTCCACGCGGTGTAGTCTAGGACCTGTAAAGATGTTTGTATGCATTTAATTTAGCACAGGTAATCTCAACTGTTTCAGGGTAAAATTACCATGGCGGTCAACATGGCATATGTGCCAAAACCTGAATCTGGGGCGAAAGTCCTGAAAATGACCCCGCCCTGAAACGGCAGGGCCGACATAGCTCTAACTTCTGAGAAGCAAAAGCGACAGCCTTTCTGAAGTGCTGATAGTGTTTAGAAGGGTTGCTTTTAGGGGTGGTCATTGGAAGGAAAAATTTGTCTAAGTATAATATTTTACTAGAAAATGACTATTCACAACCCCAGGTAAATTGCTGATTATGCACAAAATAACTGATATGCCTGGCAGAAATTTAATGTTCTTATTTCCTAAAGAAAATTATCATGGAATGAAAAACTATGCTTAATTTAATATAATTATTCTGGTTTTCATAAGGATTGTCATTGTTTTCTTTAAATATAATACATTTTAATTCACTCACCCCCCACGAAAACACAATTTCAGCCATACTTTGCCGTCTTGTTTGCTTTTTATCGCCGAGTCTCGTTGATATCATCCAGTTGTTGTACTTTTACATAATGATAGATGGCTAAAGACGATTTCGACGAAGTTTAATGAAGTTTTGAAACAGTGCAGTATATTTTATCTTCGATATTGTGTCCTTCGATATTTCGTCAAATTGCCGCCATTTTAAT